TATATAGCAAGCAATAAAATTTAATTATCGTACAGTCACTGTCTATTAGTATTGACATTGGTTCCCTATATCCCCAACAGTCCAATTACACAGTAGTAGCACAGTACAACGATATATCATTTGCTACTTGTGATGTATGTAATCAGAGAGCAGATAGAGAATGTATTCGGAAACCAGATTAATCAGATAGAGTTGACGTATTAACAGCACAATTCCATTCAATGCAAACTTATATGGAATACAAAGTAGATGATGGAACACCTTGGATACAAGTAGCGCATATGTATTTGCTCTTTTAGCAATGTATGTGCCGTGAGTGGTAAAAATAAATTGTATTCTTCGTCTTATTTAAGTGCCAATGTTCAAGGATGTGGGCATTCATGGTTTTCTACAATTTTTTATGTCTAGGTTTTTTTTTTTTTTTTCTATGTCTATGTCGTTTTTTTAACCCGTCTTTTTTTCAACATTCATTCAGACCAACCATCCAAAGCTTTCCTTGTCTGTTTCTATTCCTTTCTATTTTCTTCATCAATGCCAAAATTTCAATACCATCCTTTGATCACCGTACATGTATTCTATTGGTTAAAATTCTTATCTCGTATATGATAAACTAAACTGTTCAATCAGGGATTGCGTTAACTCCATATTCTGCTTCCGAGATTCCCTATATTAGAGAGGGACTCTCACGTAATTACAAAAACAGGTCCTATTTCATTTTCTCACTGGGACTTGCTACATGAAAATGCAGTCCACCCTGTTCACTGCACACAGGTTTCATTGCTTATTCTCCAAGCTAGGAATCCTCATCCTTCTTCTTAGGAACCACATTTCACAATTTATTCGATCACATTAAGGATACCTCAATGCAATATCTTCCCTCCCTGGAAGATTAGCATTTTGACATTCAGCTATTAAAAAATAAATTCAAGTTCAAAATTAATTGTTGTATTTTTGTGGCAGGCAATACACTTAATTTAAAAAAAAATCATGTATTACGCTACCATAAAAACAAAGCAATAATTTATCACAGTAAATCGTTAAAACGTCGTTGTGTGATGATTCACATATAATGTACATGCAAGTCATTCATATTTTACGGAGGAAGAAGGATGTGTTTTCTAGAAAACATATGAAAAATATTTTTAAAAGCAACCATTTCAATAGGATTCCATGTAAACACATTAGTCCATGGATAACTTACAATGTATACTAATTCTCCAATTTTTTTGTGACAGCCACAGATCAACAAACAAAGATTTGAGATATAATAGACTGTTTCTGCCATAGGAATCATTTTTGATCAATTTTCAAGGTCGTTTTCGGGAAGAATTAGTTTGGTGACCATATATTTGTATTTCAGAATATTGAACATTGCAGTAACCCTCTTGTTGGATTTTGAGGATTTTTGAGTATGTTTTTTTGATAATGGCAGCGAACTGCCTTAAACGATTTACAATAGTGTTGGGTTGAGGTTTATACACAGAGATTTGAGGGAGTTTATGGTTTGTGATTTATGCTGATCAATGTATAATTTGGTGACTTCATTTCTGAGTTGATACATGTATACCATACTTACCGTTTTGATATTAGATTTAACATGTCA